AGCTGTTACAGTTTGGGTCTAGATGTCCCCCAGCCTCATGTGGTCAGGTGGGGACTTTTAGGAGGTGGCTGGATCTAGACTGTGTGATGCTGAATCCGCCTACTGATTGGTTTGTGATTGCCCTACTCCCGGTAGCCTGGATACAATAAAAGGCATAGAAAGAGGCTTGTCTTGTCCCTTGTTGCTTTGCTGCCTTCTGCCCACCGTGAACTCTTTCTCCTCTGTGATGCCCTCTGCCATGCCACCCTGCCTTGGAGCCAGCCAATTACAGACTGAAATCATAGACGGTGAGCTAAATAAACCTTTTGCCCTTTATTTGGAGCCTACAGTATTTTGTCTTAGTTATGAGAAAAGTAACTAAGACACTGTCTTTATTCAGAACCATTACTACAGATTTCAGGACATAGCGATGTGGTTTTGTAGCAGAGAAGAAAGAGGGGTGCAGTGTCTAATATAATAAGGAAAAGAGGGGCTCCTAGCCCAGGAGTGGGAGGAGTGCAGGTGGACGATTACCAAGAGCAGATGCCTGGGAAAAGAGGGGGATCTGGCTGAGCCAGGTACCAGGTCTCTTGCTGAAGGCAGGCCAGATGGTCATGTGTTTCCTACTGGCTGCTGAGAGCTGTGTAGCCCAGTGAGACACCGGGGTGAAGGTGGGGGACTCTGGCTAAAAAGAGCAGCAGGATTCATGTTAAAATTGGACAGTACAGAGGTAAACAGAGCAGGTAAAAAGACAGGATCCTGGTGAAGAGTTTGATAAAGGAGAGACGCTCTGTAACTCGTAGCTAATTGCTTTTTATATCTAATAAGCATTAAGTAGTTTAGTGCAATAGCTTAGTTACAACTCTATATTGTCATTGTGTGATCCTTTTTAACCAAAATGAAGTGATTAATTTTTAAGAAAAATAGATTTCTTTTCACATGCTGATTGTTCCTTGATGCTAAATAAATAAATGTGCTAAGGGTAGTGGCAGTTTCAACGAATTTTATAATTTAAAAGTAGATACATCATATGAGTAAGCCAGTGAAAGATATGGAGCTTGAAGGCCTGGATTCTCATCCTAACCTTTTTGTCCTGAGTGATTTCGAACCACCTCTTGTTTTGGGAGCCTTCATTAAGGGAGGGAATGGTCCCATTTATAACAGAAATGAAATAGGACTCCATTATTAGTAATAAACCTAACCAAAGAAGTGAAAGACCTCTGCACTGAAAATGATAAAATACTAGGAAATGAAGACACAGATAAATGCAAAGATCCATTGTCAGAGGGCTTTCTGCAGTTATCTACAGATTTAGGAAATCTCTTATCAAAATCCCATGGCATTCTTTACAGAAATAAAGAAATGCATAGTTGGAACTGTAGGTGCATGCCTGGAATTCCACCTTGCTGGAGGATGTGGCAGGAAGATCCCTTAAGTCAAGGTGTCCAAGGCCAGTGAAGGCAATATATAGAGTGAGACCCTACTTCAAAAAGAAGAAAAGAAAATTCATAGGTAACCACAAATACCCCAGCAGTCTTGAACAGTCAGAACATAGCTAAAAGCCTCATGCTTCTTGATTTCAGAATATATTCCACAGCTCTAGTAGTCTTAGCAGTGTGTGCTGGTGTGAACTGGTTAGTGAAACAGAATAGGGAGCCCAGAAGTGACTCCATGTGTTTACTGTCAACTGATTTTAATGAAAGTGCCCAAAACACACACTGGAGACAAGAAGTGTCTATAATAAACGAAGTCATGTAAAAAGCCGAGATTAGACCCTTAAACAATGTGCGAACATCAACTCAAAATAATTTAAAGATTTAAGTGTCACATGAGAAGACAAGAAGCTACTAGAAGAGAGCATAGTGAAGAAACTTCTTGATACTGATTAAGCTGCTTTTTTTCAACAGGGCAAGTTTGTTTTGCAGCAAAAGCAAAGTAGTCAAGTGAGCTTGCATTAAAATAGAAAGCTTCTGCCTCGTAAAAGAAACAACTGCCAGGAAAGGAGCCTAGAGAATGGGAGAAAAATACTCGCAAAGCATGTATCTGCTTACGGAGTTGAGATTCAGAGTGTATAAGGGACTCTTAAAACGAACAGCAGAAACCCAAACTGACCTAATTGACAAATAGGATAAAGGCTTGAATAGACATTTCTCAGTAGAGACCGAGAAATGAACAACGGGTATGTGAGGATGCTCACACAGCAGGGAAGCTGGAGGGGTATCACTTTATGCCTGCAGAATGCTCCTATCCGAAAAGTGAAGGATAGCAGTTTGCCATGATATGGAAAAAAAGAGAACAATCAGACTCTGTTGGGATTGTAAGCTGGTGCACCTATTATGGAAAACAGTTTAGAAGTCCATTACAAATTAAAAACAGAACCTTACGCTCCATTGGTCCTACTTTTAGATATACATCCACAAGAGATAGAATCAGTGTCTCCAGGAGAACTGCCCTCTAGAATAATCCTCACTGCAGGGCTATCAGCAGTAATCAAGATTGGAAACAGGCAAACGTCCCTTGGCCGAGAAACTAAGGGGACTGGACATACCCGTGGAGTGCTGCTTCACAAGGACAGGAAATCCTTTCACGTGTGACAGCATAAACAAACTGAGACCTTATGTGAGGAGGAACTGATGCAAATACAGGCATTGCATCAAGTGATCTCTGTGAGGAATTGAACACAGACACTTGGAAGCAGAAGAGAGGGACTGCCAGGGGCTGGGCCAGGCTGGTATGGAGGTGGTGGTGTGAGGTGCCCAGTTATCAGTAAGGGATAGCACAGTGACTGTGGTTAACAGTACTGTGGGTTTTTTTTTTTTTTTAACTTGATTTGCTAACATTAAGAGTGCTCGCCATATTTCTGTGAGTGGTAAGTTTGGGAGGTGATGGCTGTGCTCCTTAGTCTGATTGTGCTCACTGTTTCACAAAGGGGACGTGTATCAAAGTGGCAAGGAAGGGTGGACATCAGGTACCACAATACCCAGCAGTGCCTCAGTTTATGAGCTTAATGTGCCCTCTGATTTTGGAAAAGATGGCTACACCTGTATTTATTTGTTTCCTGATGCAGAGTTTGCAAACAGAAATAAAATTTCTCCAGATACTTCTTTTTGCAAACCAAATTGTTTGCAAACAAGAGATTTTGTGAGCCAAGGTACCACTGTGCAAGAAGAGTGCGCTGTGCTTATGACTGAGCTCACAATCAGTTTATTATAGATCTTACAATGTGTAATACAAAGCCATGGTAGGTGTTTAAAGAGATGCAAATGCTGAGTCTCTGGTTTCTTCAGGACACATTACACATACATATCAAAGGGTCACATCCTACCTCTAGAAGTATTCAAAAATTAGAATATTTCTCTGAAACACTTAAAAACAGCTAATTGTACACTGTAAAAAACAAACAAACAAACAAACAATTTTTCCCAGCATTATACCGCAATAAACCTTGGGGAAAGTAAGGCTCATCTTTCTTTGGTCCCTGTGCTTGTGTGGGAATGATGGGCCAGCAAAGTGGCCTCAAAGTGCTTGAGACTCAAAGTAACCAGTGAGTCCTGGGTTTTTAAGAATTTTAAATGCTTCAGACCCACATGAAAGTTGGGATCTCATAGGAAACAAATGAATATATAGCCAGCCTTGAACTGGACTGCTTGGTTACCTCGTGGATAGATGTGCTCGGCCTTTTCCTGTGTCCAGCCCTCCCGGCACAGCAAGCACCTGGGATGGAGTAAGGTGTTCCTTGCTCAGTTGTTGGGCAGAGTGGACGGCAGGTGGTGCAGTCCCTGTGCCCTCACACGAGGAACCCCTTGGGGCTGCTGTTGCTGGCACCTCTGATTGTGAGTGTGCTCCTGTGTGCCACACAGGGAACGTTCTTCTTACCCTTTGAAAAACCACAGTGGTGTGCTAGCATTGAGGGCCGTTTCCTTCCTTAATAAAGGATATGCTCGCTTTTGTGGTGGCACAGTAGAATTAAAGATTAATCTCAATGTTGCCTGACTTTCTTCAGATAAAAAAGCAAACTGACTTTTATCCATATCCTGTATGTCTGTAATGTGCTTCTAGCTTTCCTGGTTTCTTTTGTAAAGTATTCTCTTTTTTTGTGTCTGAAATGTGTTAATTGCTGGCACAATGAATAGTGGTTCAAAGGCACTAGTGATCCTCTCTGAAGCTTAGTGTGATCGAAGCTGTGTATACTTCAGTGTGGTAGTTTATTTTTTAACTACGGCTGTAGCAAGATACATTTTACATTAAGATTCATTGCACACTTAGACATTATTACCTACAATAAACTTGAGGATACAATAGTGTTTTATCCTTATCCTGTGTATTCCAGTACCTTCTGTGTTATTTCTTTAGAAAGAAATGCTTATCCCTACCCATTAAATGGATTAACACCGTTTGCTGTGGCTGTCTGGTTATAGATTGTGAACTGAGGAAGTGGTCTTTAGGTATACAATCATTTCATTGTCCTCCCATGATTTCTATGATATGTTTGGCGATCATTTCATTTATTTTGCATGTTTCCAAACCAATACACTTTATCAGGTACTCAGAATGTAGTATGTCATCTAGGAAGGAAAAACTTTAATAAAACTACAAACTGTGAGGGAGTTTTGGCTGTGTGTCTTGAAGTTGGGGAGAACCTCTTTTTTACCTGTGCCTATTTATTAAGCAACGTATTAGGAGTAAAGTTTGTGGTTCTTTGATTTTTTTAACTCGATCTTGTTAACTTAATCGGAAATATTAGTTACTTATCCAGTTAAGGTTTACATTTTATATAAATTGTGGCAGAGCCAGGAGGAACTTTTAAGTTCCATGATTCATAATTTGTCATTCAGAGAGATTTCTCCAATGTTGCCTTTGCCTCACTGTGGAAATTTGTTGTTTAAAGAACTGGAACTGTTGTAGGCAGAGTTCCCTGTTTGGAGGACTGTGAGAAGCTTTCGCCTGTAGACTTCAGGTCAGCGTGGTGACATTTTGACCATTGCTGTCTTCTGTCCCCCCCCCGCCCTGCCTCCCCGCAGAGCTAGAAGAGCTTCTTAGCAGTCAGCCAAGATGAACATGGTGAAGCGGATCATGGGACGGCCTCGGCAGGAGGAGTGCAGCCCGCAGGACAACGCGCTGGGCCTCATGCACCTCCGCCGGCTCTTCACGGAGCTATGCCACCCGCCCCGGCACATGACCCAGAAGGAGCAGGAGGAGAAGCTGTACATGATGCTGCCTGTGTTCAACAGGGTGAGTGTGCTGGCAGGAGGGTACCTGCCTCCACCGTGCCCAGTGGGCCCTCTCGAGGGGAGGGGGAAGTTGCAGGAGGAAGGACTGACTGGGTGCCTTGGTTCTTGAAAAGCCCACTGCTGTCATTCCTTCTGTAAAGGTTTGCTGCTAAAGTAAGGCGGGGCATGCAACCCGCTCACTGGGGTTGACCTTCACGTGGAGACACCTCAGGAGGGTGGGCTGTGTGGGGTGCTGCTGCGGGGCTGAGTGACATTTCCCTGGCAGTGTCTCCTGCTCCGAGGGATGGGTTTATTGTTCCATGCGGTGTGATTGCCTAGGCTCTGTGTGTCCTTTAAAAACTTCCCAGTGTGCTTTGCTGTCACGGGATTTCATGTGACTCCTCTGTCAGGGCAACGCCTTGAGCTGTAGAGAATCTTTGCAGAATCCACCTCTGATGTTGAGTCCACAAAACAGTCTTGTGGGAGCTTTTGAAAATAACCTTTCTACACTGATTGTAGGTTTGTAAGCACATAATCTTAAAACGTCCAGGGGTTCCTCAGCCTAGTACCTGGCCTGCTGCTGCTCTTCATCGCCAGCTGCTGCCGCCTCTCAGGCGCTAAAGGAGCACTTTCACTGCAGCCTCTAATTGTTCAGCTTTCGTTGACTTCCTGAGGGGATACAGTTGGCCTTTTTACTTCCTGGCGCTCCACGCTGTCACTCCGCACATGCTCGCCTCCTGCCCTCGCTCACGTGTGCCTCCGCTGTGCATGTGGTCTGTTCGCACCAGGATGGGGCAGGAGGCTGTACCTGTACCGGCCACTGCGCTTCCAGGTCTGCACAGTGAGTGCTGCAGAGCTCGCTGCCGCCATGGCCTCCTGCTCGGTTCAGTTTGTCTTCTCACCGTGCGTGTGTCTGTCTCCTTCCTGTCCCTCTCTCCTTTCTTGCTTTCCCTCACTGCCTGCCCCCATTCGTTCTTCTGTCTCTGCCTGGCTTCTCTGTTTTGCCCTCACCGTCTTCCCCTTTATCTCTATGAGTACCAATGTGTGGTAGGTGATGTCCGCACTCCCTGTGTGGAGCTGAGTGCACAGGGCACAGCTTATTCCCTCTTCTCCCCCTTCCTTGCCTCTTCCTCCATGTCTTGTGCCCTTTCCCATTTAGGAAAGATCTGGCTCCCTGTCTCCTGTGATCTGTCTCTCATGTTCCTCTGTATTTATGCTTTGGGATTCTGTATAAGACAAACCATGTGATGTTTAAGCTTGTGTGTCTGATTTCTTTTACTTCACATTATGGTCTCAAGGGCATCCTTTGCTACAGAGGATTCAAGTTGATTCTTCTTTACAGCAGAGTAGCCCTCCACCATGTCTAAACACCACATTTTCCTTATCCATGCATTTATGGATGGACATGTAAGTCACTCCCAAGATGTAGCTATTCTTTGCATACTGTCTGTGCCCCTCCTTTCCCATTTCTCTATTTTCCTGTCTCTTTCTATGCCTTCACCTTTTTCTGTCTTCTGTCGCCTGTCCCCATTTCCCCTCCCCCTTGAGGAGTGATCAAGAGGCAGAAAGACAAAAAACACAGAGTGGTTTTGAGCCAGGTCTGGGCAGAGACCCGCAGGAGCCCCAGCAGAGCCCGACGGACAGGAGGTCAGGTTGTCTTAGTCGGTTTTGTGTTGCTGTGACACCCACTGGGGTTGGGTCTTCACTTTTGAGAAGACGACACCAGTGTTCTGTGCTGGTGGGGATCTGGACTGTGTCGTGGTGTGGTGAGACAGAGGGCCAGGCCCCTCCTCATGCTGCCTGACCACCCTCGGCAGTCCAGTCTCTTCCTTCACATATTTAAAACAGTATGGAGTTCTGGTAAAGATGGCAGACAGATAACAGCAGGTACAGAGCTCCCTGAGATAGTCAACTTAGAATTTAACATTAACACAGTGTGGGAAGCCCCGAACAGAGGGAGATGGATTGTCTTGACCCAGGAAGAAACTAAGGTGAGAAGAACCAATCAAACATACAGTCCTGGTGCTACTATTGGAACAGCTAAAGATTTGGCGCTCCTGTTGCAGTGCCCGAACTCGTGCGGCTGCAACTTACCGAGCTGCCCAAATTCCCGCCACTTTGACTCACTGGAAACGCAGTCGCACTGAGGTCAGGGGTAGGCGAGCCGAATGGCGAGCTGAGCTGGTGGGGAACCTGCATCGACCTGTGGTGAGTGCCAGGAATAAAACCAATCCACAGAAAAATGAACGACATTCTGGGACCGGGCAAACTGGCAAGAACAAAGAGCAGCAGTGACTTCAGTCAGCTGCCCTGTGACCAGACGGGATTGGTGGGGTGTGCTTGGCCTGGGTCACGCCCCTAGCTGAGACCCAATAAGCTATCCCAAACCAATTCCCCATGCCCCACAGTGCACACTAACGTAGTGAAGGCCCAGCAGGTTGACCTAGGGGCCAGCATACGTGCTTCAGAAGAACTGTAACCAACAAAGAAAGAAACTGGGGCCTCCTATATATACCTGTATAGAAGAAACAAAAAATATGAGAAGAGGAAGCAGTAAGAAAAAGTCCCCAGACCCCAATCCTGAGAACACTGATCCATGAAAGGTAAATACAAAGGAGACTGAGGATAGAAAACATGCAATATCAGACACGGCACCAGTAAACATAAAGAAGTATCTTCAGGACCTCATAGATGAGTCCAAAAGTGAAATATTTAACCAAGTAAAGCAAGATATAAATAGATTAATAAAAGAAATGCTAAGCATCTCTCAAGAAGACAGAGATGGAACATGGAGGAACATAAAAAAAGGGGAGAATTGTTTGATGAAAAATATAAAGAAAACAGAGCAGATTCAAAGAGATTACCAGGAAATTAAAAGCCTCATTGATAGCTGGCAAAACTGCTTGAAAAAAACTAAGGATAGATTCTCTAAACCGGAGGACAGGTTTGCAATGTAGGAGCATGAAAGGAAAAATTTCTTAAAAATATCAAGGAAATAAGCAATACAAAGGCTGGAAGATGACAAGAGGATCTATAACTTAAGAATAAAGAATGTGAGAGAAGACTTCCGGGAGAACATGGCGGACAGATAACAGCAGCTATGGAGGCTCTCTGAAAGAACCAGCTTGGAATTCAGGAATGGTGTGGAGTAAGGAGTCGTGAGCAGGTGGAGATATGCCCTGCTGACCCAAGAACGAACTGGGCTGAGAGAAACCAACTTGGAGTGCAATCCTGGTGCTATAACAGGAACAGAAGAGCCTCAGTGTGGAAGCTGGAGCCCGCGGCATTGGAAGCCGCGATTTGGGTTTCCCGCCACGTGGCGGCTGCGTCTACATCGGCTCGGCAGGGAGAGAGACGCACCGAAGCTCTGAGAACGGGAATCTGCGAACAGAGTTGAAAACAGGACGGGCGGGGAGCTGTGCATTGACTTGCGGTGAGGTGAGTGAGAGAAACTGACACTCTTCCCACGGTTTGGGAGACTCCAACAGAGGACATTCTAGGACTGGGCAGACTTGCGGGAGCAGGGCACTGCGGTGACTTCAGCCACGTATCCCCCTCTTAAGCGGGATTGGTGAGAAGTGCCTAGCCTACGTGACACTGCTGGCTGAGACCCAGTGGGCTAGCACAACCCAGATCCCAGAGCCTGAAGGTGACCTGGAGGGGCGGGCCCTGCATAGGCTGCCTGATCTGCAACTTCCTGGTGTGCTGCGGTGGGCGGGAACACCTAGCCAGCGCAACTCAATCAGACTGTGGCTGACAGGAAAGGAAGCGGGGCCTCCTATTACGCTTGCATATATAAGGAACAAAGAATATGGGAAGAGGCAGCAACAAGAAAGGCCCTTTGGCCCCCAATCCTGAGAAACAGGCAATAGCAGACACCGCACCAATAGACATAAAGCACCATCTAGAGAGCCTCATAGATCAGTTCAAGAATGAAGTTATTAATGACCTGAAGCTAGAAATAAGCAGAATAGTTAGAGAAATGCTAAGCACCACCCAAGAAAAAACACATGGTGGAATGGAAGATCAGAAAAAGAGGGGAGAATTGTTTGATGGAGAAAATAGAGAAAGCATAGAATACGTGAAGCAGGTTCAAAGAGACTACCAGGAAACTAAAAACTCTATCAAAAACTGGCATAACAGCTTGAAAGAAACTAAGGACAGACTATCTGAACTGGAGGGCAGATTTGTAATATGGGAGAATGAAATGAAAAACTTCTTAAAAGTAACAAAGAAACAAACAGCAATAATACAAAGATTAGAAGATGATAAGAGGATCCATAACTTAAGAATTAAGAACATAAAAGAAGAAGTAGGGACACAAACAAATGAACTACAAAAGCTACTCACAGAAATAATCCAGGAGAATTTTCCTAATTTAGCAAAAGGTAAAGAGACTCAGTTGTATGAAGCATACAGGACCCCAGCCACCTGCAACCCAAACAGAGCAACAATTATAAAATTAATAAATTATTAATTTTATAATAATTAAAATTCCAGAAATTCAATACAAGAACAGAATATTAAAAGCTGTCAGAGACAAGAAACAGACCACTTACAAGGGAACACCCATTAGAATTACAGCAGATTTCTCTGCACAAACCATCAAATCACGAAGAGTGTGGGGGGAAATAATTCAAGCTTTGAAAGATAATAATCTCCAGCCAAGATTGATATATCCTGCAGAACTATCCCTGGAAATTGATGGAAAAACAAGGTGGAAAAACAGGATAAAGAGGAACTAGGGGAATATGCAACCACCAATTCAACTCTAGAGAGAATACTACAGGATATTCTAAAAAAGAAAAATACAAAGAATCCAGAAATAGTGGCAGAGAGGCCACAATGAATGGAGCAGAAAACAAAATGAAGAAGACAAACTGACAACTAATGACAGAAAAAGAGCTCAACAGAAATGAGGCAGAGAAGATTGGATGATAGGAACAGCTATTTTGGAGAAAATGACATCTTAATAGGTAATACTGATTTAGTATCATCTTGTTTTGAAGTCTCATCAAGCTT